TGCTGCTGCTGCCGGCGACTTGTTTGCATTCTCAGCAGATGGCTCTTATCTGCTCGTCCGAGCTGGCCAGTCCTCCACCATGCCCGCGCCTGCCAGCGTGGACGCCATGCGGGCCACTCAGTGGGTGCCACGTGGCACTGACTCCACAGCCCGTGACTCTAACGAGCGTGATTCTGACGGGGGAATCGACAGCATGGCAGGAGGGCCGTTTCAGGTGGAGCATTGCTTGGCCTTGGAGGGGGTGGAGGCTGCAAGTGGTAAGGGGAGAGTGAGAGTGCACGTTGTGCAGCAATTCACACCAGAGAATGCAGCAGCAGGAGGAAGAGGAGGTGGAGGAAGAGGAGAAAATGGAGGAGGAGGAGGAGCATCAGCCGTGCCTCGGCTTGCCAGCCTGGCACTGCACAGGGAGAAGTGGGTGGAGCCGTTTTCGGGCGGCTCTGAGCTGGCGGATGGCGCAGCGCTGTTCAGTTCGGAGATGATTGAGGAGGAGGGGGAGGGGAGTGAGGCAGCGAGGGAAGGCAGAGTGAAGGAGATTGAGGGGCGGTGGGAGGTGACGGCGAGAGAAGCTCAAGTGCCCACATCTGTAAGGTTCATTTCAGACGTCGCGAGCTCTTGTTGCTAGTGATTGCAACTCTGACCTCATTCAGCCATTGATGCATTTACTCATTAATTCAAAGACTCACTTGATTGAATATCATTTATTCATTTTCTTTGGGCTCTCCTCTGCTGGCGTCATTTGTATGCGCACTGAACACAGGCTCAGCGTTGCTTGTTTGCTCTCTCTTTTTCTTTTTTGTCTTACCTCTGTCACTTCCTCTGACACCGTTTCTTAATCCTTTCAACCCTCTTGAATCCCACACCCAGCAACCAGCCGTCTCACCATCACTTGCTGCTATGGAGTTGACTCAGCCAATCCAAAGGGAGCTCTCAAGACAGATGGGGACCTCTGCTTTGGAGGATGGGACGCTCATGCTGCTCCCAGAGGTAGGGAAGCTATCAGAATTCAGGTCTAAGGGAGGGTATCAATAGTGTGATGAGATGTTGTTTCCACCTTGCTGAAGTGCTCCTTATTTTTCGTCATCGATCGCTCCCTCCTACCTCCCCCTCTCTTTCTGTTTCTCAATCCCTCCCCCCTTGCCTGATCTCTCTGTTCTCTCCTCCTTTCCAAAGTTTCCTTACATCCCATCCATGCAACCACACAATTGAAGGCTTTCCTCATTCTCTCTCTTTGATTTCCTCATCCCCCTTTCTGCCCCTGCTGCCCTTGTGGCATTCAGGGAGTTTGGAGTCATGTTCATACGGTGAATGGATTGTCAGGAGAAGGATTGTTTTACGTGGAGGTTGGGTGGCTGTTTGCTTCCAACCAGGCAATTGTCTCACGAGTTCACTTCGACCAATTAGGAAGTGCAAAGGTGTGTTGATGAGCAAATTTGGCTCTACTCCTTTTTTACTCCTTTTTTTGCCCTCAAACATCACTCCCCACCAAAATTCCACTTCCATTTTCAACTTTTGCTGGGTACATTGACAACCCAATGTGTTCTGTTTCTGTTTGCTTTGTTACGCAGAGCCTATCCATATCAATGGAAAGAAGAATCAGCAACTGAAAGCAATTAAGAATGATACTGTAGATGGTTGGGTGATGAGTATCTATGTCTAGGAATATAACACCGTGTACTTGTTCCAAAAGAAGCGCCGTTTATTCCACGTAACACCAATTCCCAAGATTTCATTATGTCAAGTCGCGCAGCAGCGGAGCACTCGCGGAGTGGTTCCCGAGAACCAAAAGGAACATACACAAAACTCCAAGCCAAGAGCACTTGATCGCTATACCACAGCTAGTCGACGACGATCATCCTCGCCTTCAAGGCTTGCTTGGGTCGCGTTTCCTCCTTGTCAAATCGATGGAGGTCTGTCCTGCTAGGCTAGACGGAATGGCCGCAATTCACGCTCTGGTCGTCGAAGCCATTAGGTGCTGTCAATCTGGATCTACGGATGAAGCAGGTTCCAGGTGCATCACTATCTCGCTAGTCAAAGTTGCTGGTGTCAACTCGGAAGATAATGTCGAAGCTTCAAAAGGAACATTTGCGATAAATCACACTGGAGAGCCTCTGGCAGACAAGAATCCCGCAACCTTCATTAATCGTCTAATTTCGTCTACTACCTTCCAGCAGACAGCTGGGGCACTTGGTTTCCCACATATTGCATGGGGTGAGAACCCTACAAGATTCTGTTGGCCATCTGTAGCCTACCAAAGCACCTTTCTGTATATGTCGTTTGAAAGATAGATCAATCATCAAGTTTCCCAGTTTGCCTTTCCGCAGGTGACTCCGTTGCTTTGATGACCACAGGTAAGTGTGTTGTGGGCATTTTCTGGTTCTCATTAACGGAAAAAAATCATGTGGGTAATGGCCACAGGAATTCACGACACCGACGTCAAGAGGTATGTTGTCGACATTCCAGATGAAGGTCAAGCGACATGGTCTCAGCTCCCCTCAATTGGGAAGCCAAAGGGAGCCTACTTTTCTGGCTTTGAGGTTTCTTTCGATTTTCATGGAGTCGTAGAGGATGCTGCGTTGAGACTCTACGAGCTCATCGGGATGGTGCGTACACATTGTTATGGCACAAGTCGCGAACGCAATTATTAATACTGAAATTACACCTTTTTTGTGTTCAGGTGACCGTACTTCAATCACAGGTACGCCAAATCTGTTTGCTATTTTTTTGCTTGTGGCGTGAATTCCCACGTTTCAGACACGTTTCAGACTTCTATCAGCCTTACCTTGGGAAATTTCTGCGACGAGTTTCTGACGTTGATCCATGACTTACCATCCGCACCAAAAGAGGCCGCCCCTGGAGTGATACAGTTATCATATGCTCCATATGACGAAGCCTTTGAGCTCAGCAGATTAGAAAGGTTCAAAGCAGGCGTGCTCCAGTCATTGTTATTTGAACGTGAGCGTAGGTCAGACTCAACGCAGGGGAGGCCAAAGGCTGCTCCATGTATCGCATCAGGTAGCGCGACTCATCGCTCATGTAATTTGGTCAGCATTGCTTCGTATGAAGAAGGGTCGAAGGACGAAATCACTGTGAGTGAAAACTAGATTACGGACCATATTCCTCTTTCGCCCTTTTTTGAAGCATTAACGAGTGCTTTTTTACTTCCAGGTGAAGGTGTTCAAAGACTGGTCGCCCCTTCTTGGTGGATCCAGTCTCATAGTGGCCTTGTCCGAAAGCAAGCTCTGGAGCGGTTTCGGAATTAGCATTGCGGATGCTGCTATTCACAGTTTTTACGGTATTCTCCACACCGAGAAGAGTTATATGGAGAAGCACCTCAATATATATCTCCATCTGCACAGCCAACATATCTCATCGTATGCGTCTCGCTCCCATCCACCCGGACTTCTTGCTTTATCACTCCCTCTTCCCTACGTATTGTTTTTGCTTGTCTGGATTGACGTGTTCTGCATTCTAAGTTGCACCCAACTCCTTGTTGAGGACTTTCCATAAAGCAGTGCAAAATCTGAAACCGTTCCGCGGAAAATCCTTTTGAAGCTTGTCAAGGATGCAGTTATTGCATCGTTACAACAGCTCAAGACTCAGCTTCCCGGAGAGTTTTCATCTGTACATCAAGCAAAGGTAAAGAAAGGATGATGCCATGCTCACTGTATTGTGGTTGAGTGGATCAGTGGATGATGAGTTTGTCTTTCAGGTTGGCAATTGCTTGCCGGATCTGGCAACCAGCCTTGCAGTTATAGTGACGGATTCCAGCAATCCACATTTTCAAGAAGAGTGCTCCAAGATATTGGGTGTTGAGGACATCAAAGATGTGGAAGCTGCCATCCTGGAAAGGCTGAGTAAGATTTCACTGACATCTCAAGATAGAGGGAAAAAGCTGCCTTGCAAGCGTCAGTTGAAGATGGTAGATGAGATGGATGTAGATTGGACGCTTGATTGATGAAAGGAAGCCTTTCATTCACCACACTGCGTTCAGGGGCAATTATTTTAAAACAACATTTGGATGTTATGCTCTTGAAACTTGTTAGTGGCACACCAGAATGTACGGTTGATCTACTACAGACACGGAGTACGGTAACGAGGATAGCTTTAAGGGCCAGGAGGGAAGATTTGGCTGACGCGGTAACCCAGAATCACACGTAGTTCAACCCAATGAAACGCTCCCAAGGAACTGCCCATGCTATTAGCAAATCAGCTTCCTTCCCTCACTTCGGCGTTGATCTCATTGGCAGCATGCCCCCGTCTACCTTTGGATCTGCGAATGCGGATCCACGTCACTTGTCACGAAATATAGCTGGCGTTTCTTCAGATGGGTATATTGCGGCGCGCATTCCTTGCTGCGCTCGGGCAATCAGCGGAGGGGTCTGCCAGAGAGGCAAGCAGCATGGCGCAGTGCGGGGGAATTGAGCGCGTGGATGCGGCAGAGGCTCGCATGACAGGGCGGAAAGGTGTTGAGAAACCGAGGCGGCTCGGGCAGTCAGAGCCAAGATTTTGCTGATTTCTGTTGTTCGGTCCATTCTTGGCATGGAACAGAGGTAGCGGTTTCGCCCAGAGCTCGAAAACTAAGCCGGTAATCATGCGGCTCTACCTCGCAGAGCGAAATCCATGCTGCAGGCGAACACAAGACGGGCAGCATGTGAAGACTATTCTTGGCTTCTTCACGATGTTCCTCTCCACCCACACCACAGGTATCTGTCCCCCGAGAGCCATGTTGTAAGGTATCCAAAGGTTGCATTGTATGAGTTCTATCTGAAGTTGGTGAAACTCTGACAGCAGCAGAGCTCAGTTCCTCATCCGTCCATAATTCCGGCTTCAGTCTGTGTTCGTCTCTCCGCGTGTTAGGTCAGAATCAGCTTTTGTGCGAGCAGCAGTCGCGAGAGGGTCAACGGGCTCTCCGTGATCTCCTAGACGGCTCACAAGGGCTCCGCCTGAGACCTTCTCGCCTTCAGAAACCGAAGTCTGTAGTTTTTGCAGACGAAATTTGAATGCCACCATTCGGCTCCACGGGACCTCACTCGCTATTCGCCATGAGCTGCCAGACGTCTCCGTCGTCTATTTTCTCCCCGTCCTCTCTTTCCTCTGCAGCTATCGCTCCCTCCTCCTCTCTCGTCCGCTCGTCACTACCCCGTTCCTCTCCCCTTTCGCGTCAACTCAATTCTCACCTTACCTCGTCCGCGACTCGCTCCCATGCTGCCTCCTCCGTGTTTCACGGCGCGTTTGACGGCCTGCACCGTCAGAAGCTCCCCAGCAACCGCTCCTCCTCCTCTCTTTCTCACTCCGCGGCCTTCCACGAAGCTGCGGACCGTCATATTCAGGCTCCATCTCTCCCTACGAGCGCCGCCGCCGACGCCGCTACTTGCGGCCGGCGCGCGGTGGTGACAGCGGTATTCGAGCGTTTCACGGAGCGGGCGATTAAAGCCGTGATGATGGCTCAGGCGGAAGCTAAGGTGCTCGGGCGGAAAGAGGTCGCGACGGAGCAGCTACTGCTGGGTCTAATCGCGGAGGATTTCGCGAGCGGCGGGAAACCCGGCGGATATCTCGGCTTGGGGATGACTATCCGCAGCGCGCGGGGCGCCGTCGGCGAATTGATTCGAGACGGCCGGCTGCCAGCCGCGGGAGGTCTGCCGGCCGGCAAGCCGGCGTCGGAGGTGCCTTTTTCGAGCGGCAGCAAGCGGGTGTTTGAGAAGGCACTGGAAGAATCGCGGAAGCATCGCCATAACTTCATTGCGCCAGAGCATCTTGCAGTGGCGCTGGTGCAAGTGGAACACGAGGGAGCGGCGCTGGTGATGGGGAGGTGAGAAGGGAGTTGTTAGCAGCTATGACTGCTAGTGGTACGTGTTGCACGCGAGAGGTGAGACGTATCCTCATAAGGCTGATGCCCTTAGGTGGAAGCATCCTCACAACTTCATCGCGCCGGAACATCTGGCGGTGGCGCTGGTGCAAGTGGAACAGGAAGGAGCGGCGCTGGTGATTGCGAGGTGAGAAGAGTTGAGATGTGTTGACTTTGGAGTGAACAGGTGAGTGTCAGTGGCTGATGTGTTCCAACACGCGCATCTGGCGGTGGCGTTGGTGCATGTGGAACAGGAGGGGGCGGCGTTGGTGATGGCAAGGTGAGAGCGTTTGGCTGTAAGACGCAAACAATTGGCGAAATTGTCCATGTATAATGGAGAAGCATCGTTACAACTTCATTGCGCCGGCCGGAGCATCAGGAGGTGGAGCAAGAGCGAGCGAGCTGCGCTGGTGATGGCGAGGTGAGAGCGTTTGGCTGTAAGACGGTAACGTGCCGTAATCTGCAAACAATTGGCGAAATTGTCCATGTCTAATGGGGAAGCATCGTTACAACTTCATCGCGCCGGCCGGAGCATTAGGAGGTGACGCTGGTTGAAGTGGAGCAGGGGGGGGTGGCACTGGTAATGGCGCGGTGAGAGAAAAGTGCTAGACTGTAGGGTGAGAAAAAAGTCATCTGAACAGCATCGCCTGCAGCAGTTAACGGTAGTGTCTCACACATTCCCTCGTTTTAATCCCTCTCCATCTGTCCCTCTCCTCTCTGTTGACTGTGTTGACTGCGTTGATTGTGTTTGACTGCGTTGACTGTGTTGACTGCGTTGACTGCCTTGACTGCGTTGACTTGCTGGCAGCCTGGGAGTGCAGCAGCATCGCCTGCACGAGGCAGCGCTGGCGCGGCTCAAGGGCGAGCCGGACCAGGACGGGCGCTCCTCTAACCCCCTCTCTCTCCCCTGCTGACTGCGTTGACTCTCTGTGTTGACTGCATTGACTCTCTTTCTTGACTGCGTTGACTTTCAGTCTGGGAGTGCAGCAGCATCGCCTGCACGAGGCAGCGTTGGCGCGGCTCAAGGGCGAGCTGGATCGAGATGGGCGCTCCTCGGAGTCGATCACCAACCCCTCCTCGCGCCCTTCCACCAGCCCCACCAGTCCTACTAGCAAGTCTCCCAGTTCCCCAATCCGCAAGGGGCGCGGGAAGAAAGGTACGAGGGGCTTGCTATCGTGGGGTGGGTGTGGTTTAGTGCTCTAGTGGCTTCTCCTTGTGTCTTTGAGTTGGTTGGTGCGGCTCAAGGGCGAGCTGGATCAGGACGGGCGCTCTTCGGAATCGATCGCCAACTCCTCCTCTCGCCCCTCCACCAACCCTGTAACATTCCCGCATTTTATTTCCAGCAGTGCAGCAGAGCGCATTGGAGCAGCTCTGCAGAGATCTAACGGCCATGGCGGCTGTGCAAGGAGGGATCGATGAGGTTGGCGTCACTGCGCTTCTCTTTCCGTCGCATTTCGCCATGTCTATTTATCATTCCATTTCGCCCTCTCTCGAACAGCATCACAGCAGAGTGCGTTGGAGCAGTCCTGCACGGATTTAACAGCGATGGCGGTGCAGGGGGAGATAGGTTTCACCCACCCCACCTTAACCCAACCCCACCCCACTGCACCCCACCCTACCCCACCCTAACCTACCCCACCTTCCATGCAGCAGCGCAGCAGAGTGCGTTGGAGCAGTTCTGCACGGACCTAACAGCCATGGCGGTGCAGGGAGGGATGACGAGGACTCTTATCCTCCCCCCCACTTTCTCCCCCTTTTCTCCTTCCATCCTCCCCACACACGCAGCAGCGCAGCCGAGCGCGTTGGGGCAGTTCTGCACGGACCTAACAGCCATGGCGGTGCAGGGCAAGATAGGTTTCACCCTTTTCACCCTACCCCAACCCACCCTACCCCACCCTAACCTACCCCACCTTCTATCAGCAGCGCAGCAAAGCGCGTTGGAGCAGTTCTGCACGGATTTAACAGCTATGGCGGTGCAGGGGGGGATCGACCCCGTGATTGGCCGAGAGGCGGAGGTCGCGAGGGTGGTGCAGGTGAGTGCTTGTGCTGAGATGTGACTGTAAAGGGGATAGTGGGTCGGTGGTTGCATCTAACGGCCATGGCAGGGTAAGAGAGCTTGACCCCGTGATTAGCCGAGACGAGGGGGTTGCTAGGGTGGTGCACTTGCGTGCTTGTGTTGAGATGTGACTGGTGATAATGGGTGTGTACACCGAACAAGCATTGCGGTGCAGGGTGAGATCGCTCCTGAGTTGGCTAGCACTGTTGCGTATTCCCCAAAATCCTCTCTTCTCCATATGACTTGGTTCTCTCGAAAGTCTCTCGATTCCGCTATTCAGCGTACCATAAAAGGTAGCAGAATGGGTGACCAGCATCATTCACGGTTGGTGCATCGCGAAGAGCAGTGGTGATGCAACAGTTGTGATTGCTGCTGGTCACTCATTCTGCTACTTTTATGGCACTTTGAAGAGCGGATTCGGGAGACTCTCGAGAAAGGCAATAGATATGGAGGAGAGGAGCTCTCGGAGAACAAGCAAGAGTGTCAATTAACTCTTGAACAACGAAATTTGTCTCTTTGACGTCCTTGGGAATTTTAACACGAGTGTTTTAAAGGCCCTTATATAGTGGGAGAAACAGAGGGCAGAGGGCAGAGGTTACAGGGCTAACTCCTCTCTCGCTCTCGCACCAAGAACAACCCGCTGCTGCTAAGAGAGCCAGGGGTGGGCGGAGGAGACGTCTGCATTCCTGATTCAACACTTTGTCCCTCCTTCTCCTCCTCACCGCTCCTTACTCCCCTTCTCATCCCCCTCAGATTCTCACGCGTCGCACCAAGAACAACCCTTTGCTGCTGGGCGACCCAGGGGCGGGCAAGACGGCCATGACCCTCTCTCTTGCACACTCTCACTCTCCCGCCCGCCGCTCTTTTGTCCTTGCCCCTCGCACCCTCCCATTCCTCCTATAATTCCTCAGATCCTCGCTCATCGCACCAAGAACAACCCACTGCTGCTAGGCAAACCAGGGGCGGGCAAGACGGTCATCCTTGGCCCTCTTTCCTACCCAACCGCTTCCAGCCGTTTTACACCTCTCAGCTCTCGCATTATCCCCTATCCCCCTCAGATCCTAGCTCGTCGCACCAAGAACAACCCTCTGCTGGGCGAGCCGGGGGTGGGCAAGACGGCCAGCCATAGCCCTCTCTCCTACACGACCGTTTCACCCCGTTTCTCACCTTGAAACTCTCCCATTCTTGGTCCACCTATCGTTGTCTTACCCTCTCCACCTTCCCCCCTCAGATCCTAGCTCGTCGCACCAAGAACAACCCTCTGCTGCTGGGCGAGCCAGGCGTGGGCAAGACGGCCATATCCCTGCTTCCTACCCAACCATTCCCCCCTCTTTTCCACCCTCCTCCTCGCTTGTTCCTTTCCCCCCTCAGATCCTCGCGCGTCGCACCAAGAACAACCCGCTGCTGCTGGGCGAGCCAGGCGTGGGCAAGACGGCCATAGCGGAGGGGCTGGCTCTGCGCATTGCCGAGAACGACGTGCCAACGTTCCTGCAGGTATGTGCCTCACAGGGGTGGGAATGTGGTAGTAGCAGGGAGTTTCACAGCAGAGGGAGTGGGCGGGACGGCCATAGCAGAGGGGCTGGCGCTGAGGATTGCCGAGAACGATGTGCCAACGTTCCTGCAGGTATGTGCCTCACAGGGGTGGGAATGTGGTAGTAGCAGGGGCCAGTTTTACAGCAGTGGGGGTGGGCAAGACGGCCATAGCAGAGGGGCTGGCACTGCGCATTGCCGAGAATGACGTGCCACCTATCTTCCCGAGTGGCTGATTTGTAGGTCGTTTCTGCCTTTTGCTGTTTGAAAACGGGGTAGCAGGGGCAGGGTCTAGCGCTGATGATTGCAGAGAACGATGTGACATTGTTGGGTTAGCAGGGAGGGGAATCTCCCTCTCTCCTTTTCTTTCCTTCGATACCGTCTGCTCCTCTCCCTTTTTGAGGCACCTCGAAATGGGACGACTCTTGAGGCGCTGAAATCAGGCTTTTTTCCTCACTTTTTTTTAAATAAGATAATTGCCACTTTTCTTTCCTCTTCCTTTCCTCCCCCTCTCCCCGTTTTCAACCAGGGCATGCGCCTTCTGCTGCTGGACATGGGGAGGGAGATGGCAGGAGCGAAGGAGAGAGGCGAGTTGGAGCTGAGAGTTACACCATTGGGCTAGACAAACCCCTGCTTCCCTCCCTTTCCCTGCTAACCCCACCAGGGCAAGCGCCTTCTATCCTTGGACATGGGGAGGGTGATGGCAGGAGCGAAGGAGCGGGGGGGGCTAGAACTCAGAGTGACCTCTTTGGTGGCAGAGGCGGTGGCAGCAGCGGGGGAGGTGGTGCTACTGATAGATAAGGTCTTTCCCTTTCCCTCAGTACTCCCTTGTCGCTTTCTCCTCTCCCCCCGTTTTCAACCAGGGCAAGCGCCTTCTATCCTTGGACATGGGGAGGGTGATGGCAGGAGCGAAGGAGAGAGGCGAATTAGAGCTCAGGGTGACCTCTTTGGTGGCAGAGGCGGTGGCAGCAGCGGGGGAGGTGATTCTGGTGATAGATGAGGTGCATACGATGGTGGGAGCTGGCGCTGTGGGGAGGGGCAGGGACGGTGGAGGGTCAGGACTGGACATCTCGAATCTGCTCAAGCCTGCACTGTCCCGGGGGCAGATTCAGGTGAGATAGAGAGTTTTGAGTGCGGTTTAATTAGATGATTTGGAAGAATGATCTTGGTGCTGCTGTTGATAGACGAGGTGCACACGATGGTGGGAGCTGGCACTGTGGGGAGGGGACGGGATGGTGTTAGCGGCTGAGTGCGGTTGAGTGCGCTTTGGTCTGGTAATCTTCAGGAATGATCTCGGTTTTGCCAGTGATAGATGAGGTTACACGATGGAGGGAGCTGGCCTGGCGACAGGGAGCAAAAGCATGGGAAGCAGCACACGCTTCATTCGTAGCAGAGGCAGTTTCTTTGACAGCATTAGCAACCGGAGAAGAGGTGAGTGCAGCAGGAGTTTGGATACAGGACATTAGGAGCGCTTGCAGCTGGAGTAGCCAAAGTATTTGAGGGGCAACAGCCGAATTGGATGAGAGGGCAACAGCCAAACCATGAAATGAAGTGGGGGGGTAGCACACGCCGCAATAGCAGTAGAAGTGATTGCAAAGACGCCTGCAGCAAGAGTAAAAACGAGAAGAGCCACAAGTGTGACGCTGCAGGTAAAGTCGCTCGTGCTGGGGCTGCTCACCTTTTGAGGCGCCTCAAAAGTCGCTGGGGCCGCTCACCCCACTCTTCGCACCCTGTGAGCGGCTTTACCTGCAGCGTCGCCCTTGTGGTCTTTCGCACTTTAAAATACGTTTGCCGTTAGTGTTGCTGCAATCACTTCTTGCTGCTAGTGTGGCGTGTGTTCCCCCCTCTGCTTCCTTTTCTGCGAGTGCTGCTGCCCATTCATCCAGTTTGGCTGTCGCCCCTCGTCTGCTTCGGCTGATCTAGCTGCGAGTGCTGCTAATGTGTCCTGTGGCTCTACCCGTGTTGCAACTGACCTCCCGTCTTTCCTCCGTTCCCCCCTCAACCATCAGTGCATCGTCGCCACCACAACCACCAGCGAGTTCAGCAAGCACTTGGAGAAGGGCAAGGCTTTGGCCACACGTCTAGTGCTTACTGTCCCCCTTCACCTCACCGCCTTCCTTGTCTCCCCCCCTCCCATATATCAGTGCATCGCCACAACAACCACGAACGAGTTCCGCAAGCACCTCGAGAAGGACAAGGCTCTGGCTTCGCATCCAGTGCATCATGTCTTGTCGTCGCTTACCCCGCACCTCGTCTCCCCCCTCCCCCTGTCCCCCCATTTTCCCCCCCATATCAGTGCATTGCCACAACAACCACTAACGAGTTCCGCAAGCACCTTGAGAAGGACAAGGCTCTGGCCAGGCGGTTTCAACCGGTGACTGTAGACGAGCCCTCGGAGGTGAGAGGGATGTTACGGTGAGGTGATCCTATAACGAGGATGTGGTATGTGTGCTGCGGTAGGGTGGATAAGGGACAAGGCTCTGGCCAGATGGTTTCAGCCAGTGACTGTGCACGAGCCTTCAGAGGTGAGTGGAAGGCTCTTATAACGCGGATGGGATGGGATGGGATGGGATGGGATGGGATGGGATGGGATGGGATGGTTTGTGCTGTGGTATGGGTGAGCAGGGCAAGGCACTGGCCAGGCGGTTTCAGCCGGTGACTGTGGACGAACCATCAGAGGTGAGAGGGGGGTTGCATCTTATAACGGGGATGGGATGAGAAGAACGTGGCTCTGGGATGGGATGGGTTGAATCTTACATGGTCTTAACCATCCTACATGGTCCGAGACATATGTACGAGGCACACCACAAGTGCACTCTCACTGACGCCGCCCTGGCAGCAGCCGTCACGGTGTCACCCTCTCCTCACACGGCTCGTTCCTTGCCCTCCCTTTCCCCCCTCCCAGGAGGCCGCTCTAGCCATCCTACATGGGCTAAGGCACCTGTACGAGGCACACCACAAGTGCACTCTCACGGACGATGCCCTGGCAGCAGCCGCCACCCTCTCCTCATCTTGCTCTCCTTCCTTCCCCACCCACGCCCCTTCCAGAAAGCTGCCTTGGAAATCTTACACGGCCTGCGCCACCTGTACGAGGCCCACCACAAATGCACCATCACCGATGCTGCTCTCATGGCTGCTGTGACCCTCTCCTCGCGATACATCCCAGACCGCTGCCTCCCTGACAAGGCCATTGATTTGATCGACGAGGTGGCCAGTAGGAGCGCCACTCACTGTGCTTTTTATTCACCCCCACCCTCCCAGGAAGCTGCTCTGGCGATTCTACACGGGCTAAGGCACCTGTACGAGGCCCACCACAAGTGTGCCATCTCTGACGATGCCCTGGCAGCAGCAGTGACAAGGCCAAACACCTTCTTTTGCTCCCCCTTCTCTTCTCACAGGAAGCCGCCCTAGCAATTCTACACGGTCTGCGCCACCTGTACGAGGCACACCACAAGTGTGCTCTCACCGATCCCCCCCTGGCAGCCGCTGTGACTCTCTCCTCGCGCTTCATCCCCGACCGCTGTCTCCCCAACAAGGCCATTGATCTGATGGGCGAGGCTGCCAGTAGGAGCAGGGTGGAGGGCAGTAAGGGGAGGAGGCGACTCACAGCACCTCCCCTTGTGCATTCCTTCCCTTCCCTCCCCCCCACTTCCCCCCTTTCAGGAAGCCACCTTGGAAATATTGCACGGCCTGCGGCACCTGTACGAGGCCCACCACAAGTGCACTCTCTCCGACTCCGCTCTGGCAGCAGCCGTCTCCCTCTCTGCACGCTTCATCCCCGATCGCTGCCTGCCCGACAAGGCCATTGACCTGATAGATGAGGCGGCGAGTAGGAGCAGGGTGGAGGGCAGTAAGGGGAGGAGGAGGCGGGCGAGTGGGGTGCTGGAGAGGGGGGCGGAGGAGTATTGGAGGGAGATCCGGATGGCGCAGGCTGCACATGAAGCGGTGAGAATGGGTGCAATGCGGTGAAGGTGGTTCCAATGCGGTGGAGATGGGGTAAATGATTTTAGATTGGTCTAGTTTTGAAGGTAAGTGCCTTAAAGCCAGTAGGAGCAGGGTGGAGGGCAGCAAGGGGAGGAGGCGGCGGGCGAGTGGGGTGCTGGAGAGGGGTGCAGAGGAGTACTGGCGGGAGATTCGCATGGCGCAGGCTGCACACGAAGCGGTGAGAATGGGTGCAATGCGGTGAGGGTGGTTCTACTGCGGTGCGGTGGAAATGGGTTCAATGCGTTTAGATCGGGTTGTTCTTGGAGGTAAGTGCCTCAAAGCGAGAAGCCTGTAGGAGCAAGGTGGAGGGTAGCAAGGGGAGGAGGAGGAGGGTGAGTGGGGTGCTGGAGAGGGGTGCAGAGGAGTACTGGCGGGAGATCAGGATGGCGCAGGCTGCACATGAAGCGGTGAGAATGGGTGCAGTGCGGTGAAGGTGGTTCCAATGCGGTGAGGATTGGTTTGATACAGTTTTGTGTGTGGTGAGACAAGGTTCTCGAGGGGTTAAATACTGAGGTTGTAGTGTGGCAGTAGAGCAGCGGCAGGGGAGGCGGCCTGCCGCAAAGCTCTCACCTCATTCACCTCTTTCCTCTCCCTCTGCTGTGTTCCCTCACTCCTCATCTGTTACTCCTCATCTGTTCCCTTGCTCCCCTTTTCCCTTGCTCTTTTGCTCCTTCGTTCACTTGCTCCCGTATTCCACGTGTTCTGTTTCCTCTCATCTCCAGGCCTGTGCCTGCTGGAATCCCTCAGACTTCTCTCTTCTTTTCTCTGATTGTGTCTCCCTTTGCAGGCACATGTGCACCAGAATCCCTTCACCTCGCTCACCTCCTTCCTCTCTCTAGACTCACACTCACCCCAATACCACCACCGCTGCTGACGCCGCTGGTGCTTCTCACCCCCCCTTCTTCCCCCAACCCCTTGTTTCTTTCTCTCTTCCACAGGCATATGCTCGCCAGAATCCCTTCACCTCGCTCACCTCATTCCTCTCTCAAGACCACGTTCATGCCGACACCACCACCGCTGCTGATGCCGCTGCTGCTGCTGGTCGCTCCAAGAGTGGCATCACTGGCAGTGACAAGGAGGACGGGTGAGATTCACCACTCACACACACGCCAATATCACCGTATGAATCACACACTTAACACTCCCATTAATACCACCACCACCGCTGCTGCTGCTGGTCGCTCCAAGAGTGGCATCACTGGCAGTGACAAGGACGACAGGTGAGTGAAACCTACCTCTTACCGTCACGCATAATCATACTCATAATGACACCACCATCTGAGTCTCACAAACAATCACACCCACGCTGACACCACCACGGCTGCTGACGCCGCCGCTGCTGCTGGTCGGTCCAAGAGTGGCATCACTGGCAGCGACAAGGAGGATAGGTGAGATTTAGCGTCGTCTGACTCTCACAAACAACCACACCCGCATTAACACCACTACAGCTGCTGACGCCGCCGCTGCTGCTGGTCGTTCCAAGAGTGGAATTACCGGTAGTGACAAGGACGACAGGTGAGATTCGCCACTCCTCGATCGTCTTACTCTCACACACGCACGCACACCCACACTGACAGCCTCGTGTCACTCTCACTCACTCAACACTCCCATCGACACCACCACCGCTGCTGACGCCGCCGCTGCTGGGGCGTTCCAAGAGTGGCATCACTGGCAGTGACAAGGACGACAGGTGAGGTCTGCCACTCTCCCATTGTCGGACTCACACACTTCAACTCTCATATCAACAGCACCACGGCTGCTGACGCCGCTACCGCTGCTGGTCAGTCCAGGAGTGGCATCACTGGCAGTGACAAGGACGACAGGTGAGATTCGCCACTCCTCGATCGTCTTAGTCTCACACACACTCGCACCAACGTCAACACCATTGTCTGTCACCGTCCTCTGGCACATTGATCCTCTCCAGCCACCTTTTTCTTTTTTTTGGCTGATTTTGAAATTTCTCAGAAATTGTACCTCAAAAATTCATTTGGCACATTAATCCTCTCCAGCCGCCCATCCTTTTCCCTCAATCCTCTTCTTTCGTCCTCTACCCCTTCCACCAGCCCCACGGAGATCACAGCAGAGCACATAGCAGCAGTGGCCGCCCACTGGACCGGTATCCCCCTGCAGCAGCTCTCCCTCTCGGACCAGCAGCACCTGGCAGGGCTGGAAGAGGCACTAGAGACGCGCGTGGTGGGGCAGGGGGCAGCTGTGCGGGTGATAGCACGGGCGGTGCAGCGAGCGAGGGTGGGGTTGAAGGGGGAGGGAAGGCCGGTGGCGGCTCTGCTGTTCTCGGGACCTACCGGGGTGGGGAAAACGGAGTTGTGCAAGGCACTGGCAGCTCACTACTATGGATCGGTGAGTTTGATTCACTGGTAATCTTGGAGTCAAGCTGATTGGATGCCATGCTGTCAGCAAGCTGATTGGATGCCATGCTGTCAGCAAGCTGATTGGATATATGCATCATTCCCATCGAATGCATCGGGTGGGTGGATCGCAGCTTCCCCCCTCATTCCCCTCCATCCTGCATTGCCCTCGTTCATCCTCTGCCTTCCAGGAAGATTCCATGATTCGTCTAGACATGAGTGAGTACATGGAGCGCCACGCTGTCAGCAAGCTGATTGGAGCGCCGCCCGGCTACGTGGGGTACGGCGAGGGCGGCAAGCTCACGGAGGCCGTCCGCAGGCGGCCGTTTTGTCTTATTCTCCTGGACGAGATCGAGAAGGCACACCCGGACGTCTTTAATCTCCTGCTGCAGATTTTCGAAGACGGGCGGCTTACTGACTCGCAGGTGGGTGTTGTTTGTCTGTTGTGAGGTGGGGGTAGCTTGAAATGTTGATGTATTTTATCTACTGTGTCCGGCTGGTGCTTTTGATACCCTCAAAACTGCTGATACCCAAGCCTCTATACCACTGCATCGGTTTTGTCTGATGCTCCCACCCTCTGATCCTCTGGTTTCCTCTGATGCTCCCAAGTCTCTATTCATCACCCACCCACCCACCCACCCCGCCCTTTACCTCTTCACCCTCCTCTCCTTTCTTCCTTTCTGACCAATCCAGGGCCGCCACGTGTCGTTCAAAAACGCCCTGATAGTCCTGACGTCCAATGTGGGCTCTCAGGCCATTGCAAGGGGGGGCACCCACCGAATCGGCTTCCTCACTCCAGGAGAATATGCATCTGCTGATGGGAATAGGGGGAGAGATGGGGGCAGAGAGGGACGGGCGGATGCGGGGCGGTATGCGGCGATGAAGGAGGTGGTGATGGAGGAGTTGAAGGCGCATTTTCGACCGGAGCTCATGAATCGGATTGATGAGGTGGTGGTGTTCCGAGCACTGGAGAGGGAACAGGTGAGCAAGTGTGTGTGCGTGTGCGTTTGCGTGTTCGTGATCGTCTCGGAAGGTGGATGCAGGGCAGTATGCGGCAATGAGGGAGGTGGTGATGGAGGAGTTGAAGGTGCACTTCCGGCCTGAGCTGATGAATCGCATTGACGTGGTGGTGGTGTTCCGAGCATTGGAGAGGGGAACAGGTGAGACTGGCGCGAGAACAGGTGGGTAAGAGAGGTGGGAGCAGGTGCACGTGTGTATGTCTCAGCACAAGTGGGGCGGTATGCAGCGATGAGGGATGTGGTGGTGGAGGAGTTGAAGATGCACTTCCGGCCAGCGCTCATGAATTGGATTGATGAGGTGGTGGTGTTCCGAGCATTGGAGAGGGGAACAGGTGAGCAAGAAATCAGGTAAGGGGGGGTGAGCAGGTGAGGTGAGACAGGGAGGTGGTGATGGAGGAGTTGAAGGCGCACTTCCGTCCAGAGCTGATGAACCGGATCGATGAGGTGGTGGTGTTCTGAGCATTGGGGAAAGTGCAGGTGAGCGTTTGGGGGGGGGGGGGGTTGGGGAAAGGTGTGTGCGTGTGTACGTCTGAGAAGGCAGTATGCAGCGATGAGGGAGATGGTGGTGGAGGAGTTGAAGGGGCATTTCCGGCCAGAGCTGATAAACCGGATTGATGAGGTGGTGGTGTTCCGAACTTTTGAGAAGGAACAGGTGAGCATGCAAGAAGGTGAGAGAAAGTGTGTCTGTGTGTGTACGGCTCAAAAAGGTGGATGCGGGGCGGTAAGCGGCAATGAGGGAGGTGGTGATGGAGGAGTTGAAGGCGCACTTCCCGGTCGGAGCTGATGAATCGGATTGATGAGGTGTTGGTGCTCCGAGCATTGGAGAGAGAACAGGTGAGAACAGGGAAAGGGCATGTGATGCAGTTGAGTGGGGAGAGGAGTTGAAGGGGCGTTTCCGGCCAGATCTGATGAACCGGATTGACGCGGTGGTGGTCCGAGCATTGGCGAAAGAACAGCTGAGCAAGGGAGAAGTGTGTGGGTGTAAAGGGGAATGCAAGGTTGATGAACCGGATCGACGAGGTGGTGGTGTTCAGAATTCGGGAGAGGGAACAGGTGAGAGAGGGATTGGGGTGGGCATGCGGGAGAGGGAACAGGTGTGCTTGCATGTGGGAGAGCAGATGAGACAGGGAGGTGGTGATGGGGGAGTTGAAGACGCATTTTTGGCCTGAGCTGATGAACAGGATCGACAAGGTGGTGGTATTTCGAGCCCTTGCAATGGAACAGGTGAGCATGGTGTGAGAGGGAACAGGTGAGTGTGAGGGAGAGAGAGAACAGAGGAGTGTGTGCAAATGAGGGAGGTGGTGGTGGAAGAGTCGAAGACGCACTTTTGGCCAGAGCTGATGATCCGAATCGACGAGGTGGTGGTGTTCCGAGCTCTAGAGAGGGTGGTAAGAGCAGTAAGGAATGTGAACCAGGTATCTCCATGGCTGAAGCGTGCTTCACAACAAATGCGTTATTCACGCATGCACACCCTTGTTGTGCATAACGCTTCAGTCTTGGAGAATCATGGTTTCACATTCCTTACTGCTCTTACCACCCTCTATGCCACCTTCCCCATAAGCCATCCGCACCTGTCCAGCCTCCTCCACCTCCCACGTCTCGCCCATCTTCCCACCCTCACCCTCACCATAACCATCTCCCCCACCTTCCCTCCAGATCCGAGTGATTGCCAGCACGATGGTGAAAGAGACGGCTGACCGATAGACCAAGAGGTGATTCAACCTGGAAGTGTCAGAGCACTCGTGCAGCAAACCCCTCTACCCTGTTTACATTTGCTTCCTTGTCCCTCCACTTGTCCCCCTTCCCTCCAGATCCGAGTGATTGCTAACATGATGGTCAAGGAGTCGGCTGATAGACTTGCACAGAAGGGAATCAACCTGGAAATTTCTGAAGTACTCATGGAGCGGATTTGTGAGGAGGGGTACGACAGGGCGTATGGGGCGCGTCCACTGCGATGTGCCGTCACGCGATTGGTCGACGATCCAATCAGCGAGGCTGTGCTGGCAGCGGGGGAAAGCAGCAGCAACACCAGGCACCGCCACCGCCGCGTCAGCAGCAGTGACCTGTCGGAATCTCTACCATCCGTTCCTTCGGTGCTGCTCCCTGCGATCGCAGCTGACGCCAAAGAAGATGACACCAGCGCACCCCTGGGTGACGTCAGCGGGGTCAGGGAGGGCGCGTTCACAGCTGGCGACACAGCACTGGTGGATGTCGGGGAGGATGGGGAGCCGGTGGTGATCCGCCTGCCTCGCCCTGACGTGTGTGAGATGGGTCTGTGCCTTCCGTTTCTCAAGCTCCCTGCTGCCGCTGCTCCCACTCTCTCCCTCCCTGACTAAGGGGCACGTAACAATGGCGACGCAGTCATGCTTTCGTGCGGTAACCAGATTGACTGTGCGATGGGGATGTGCCTTCCCTTCCTGTAGCTGCCTGCCGCTGCTGCTCCTTCTCTTTCCCTCCCTGAGTATCTCTCTCTGCCTTCCTGACTAAGGGGCATGTTTTCTGTGTATAATAACCAGGGTGACTGTATAGGTGGTCAATGCTCGGGTTGGTGGTTATGCACTGCCAAGGGACCCAACAGCAGGTGGTGGCTACAGCAGATGGGGTGAGGAGGGGAATAGGGCAACTGTAGATTTGTATATACCCGGTTGATGTGTGTGGGATGGGAAAACTACTTTCATTTGGTGATTGGTCTGTGTAAGGCATTGAATTGAAGGATGGTGGCACATTATGAGCATGATATCACGTTGAAATGAACTGAAGGTGGTGGGTGGTTTCAGAAGGAGTCTGTTTATGCAATTTTCATTGTGTTTAGGGTGTCTGAGTGTTGAATCAATTCGTAAGAAAGTAGTGGAGATTTAGCTTCTATTAGACTACTAGCTTGTTTTGTACAGTTGTTATGAGTGCAACTGAGTTGAGCTATAGAGGGAAAAGAATAAAATCAGCGAATGCATGAGCAATTCGTTACCGTAAATAGAAAAAAAAAAAATCGATAACGGTAACGCGCTTGCGAAAGGATGCCCTAGGTTGGGGGAATGTACAATAACCTAGAGTTTAGGGAAAATCACACTTCGGGTGTGCCAACCAACGTTTTAATTGGCGCTGATACCACCGTGGATTGTAAGAGGCTACCGTATCGCCCCGGATATAACCGCAGGCCTATTAAAAGCGCATGCGCTTATATCTGGAGCAATGCGCTTATGGCCGATCCTCAATTAGAAGCGCACCCCCTGTAAAAACTTTACTTATTATAAGCGCATGCATAATTGTATTCTAATTTCCGTAACGATTTTCCGCTTTGCAGCGAGTCTACCCTACAACCCTCACGAGAAGCGGCCGACAAAATCGCACGTTCTGTTCTGCCTCGCGAAAAACCGAAACGGGCGCGAAGCTGAAGCTGACTGACAGCACGAACGTGGGGGGGGGGGGGGGCTCGACCGTGCTCCTGCGCTGCGAGCGACCGGATTCTGTGCCTCGCAACAGTGGGCCGGTGACACATTCCCCTACGGAATGACGTGTCCTCGCCCACCCTTGCGCTGGCAGACAATCGCGCGATTCTGATCTATGACGCGCTAACATTTCGATTCGACTGGAATTGCAAGACTAAGATGCACATTTTGGTGCGCTTAAAATATATTTCTACATTTGTCATTATATAAGCGCATGCGCTTATGCCCGTGACTCATTTATAAGCGCACCCCTCTATAAATCAATGTTTTATTATAAGCGCAGGTGCGCTTCAATCCGGGGTAATACGGTAATATATATATATATTTTAAGTGAAACTGCCAAAGAGAACCCAAATGCAACACACATAAAAACCCCCCTCGAGATACCCAATCAAAACGCCCAATCGAGACACCCCATCAAGACATCCCATCCCACACCCCATTTCACCCCCCCCAATCACAACAGCGTATCCACCATGTACGGGGCCTCCACCCAGAGAGCCCCGCCTTCCACATCAACATCGTCCCTCTCCCGGTCCACCAAATCTACGTTAATCCCCCCCATGGAAGACGCCGCTCGAAGCAGGATGACATGGGCTTGCGCACGTTGTAACGCCACCCCGATGAGCGCCTTCAGTGACCCTAAAAGATAAGCCGAAAACACAGTGTCGTCCTCCCGACAAGCCCCCCGCGACACAGCTAGCCCCACGTGCGCATCCCCCTGCTGACGAAGCCACCGCCGAAAACGACCGCCGAGACACCCCCACGTCTCTACTATCAGAGGGGTGAACTGCACGCCCCGGTTGCGTGCAAGCAGAGGCGCGTAATCACTCGTTTTGCGAAGCTCCCACTCTCTTGCCGCCACACCTATGGATCGCCCGCACTGTCCTAGCAGAGATGGAGACAGCGATAGCAGATCCGCGACGCTGATCTCTAGGGCGTGAGCCTCTCAAGCCATTGGTCGTCGCACCGCCACATCAACCCGCTTCCCCTGCAGCACCACACTATCCTCCATTGTCACCACCCCCCCCGACGTCTTAGAGATCTTCGCCACCGCAAACTTCACCTCATCATGCACCCGAGATGGACCATGCTGGTGCTTGCATCTCAGGGCATGATGCGGGTCTGCCGGGTCAACATACGCTGTGCCACAAACATACCTCCCCGCCACCTGCAGCTGCTGAATTGGGAGCCCGAGCCGTATAGCAGCAGCAATGCCCCACTCAGCCGCACTGAATGTGAGATCTGAGTGAGCCGGAACCGCCGAAACCCATGCACCCGCCCCCGGGCCCTGAAGGGATGTGAAACGGGCCAAGGTAGCATCGTCACGAGCCAAGCGGCGCAGTGCCTGGAGCTCCTCTACAGCTAACTGCCGCTGCCGCGCCTGGAAAAGCCGAACGGGAGGGGCCGCTACATACAGAGGTAAGCCCGGTATCTCCTGGCGGATAGTCGCTGGCAGCTGCTCAAGAGCCTTGACAAACCACGGGTCGAGAAACTCTGCCCCTGTCGAAGTGGTGAGGTACTCTGCAAACATCGCCTCCTCGCCCGCCACCCCTAACTGTGCAATGTCACGCGCGGCCTACGCCCACCCACAAACATAGGACAGTGGGCTCAAAGAGGCCGCCGCCCGGATCCCGAACCCTCCGAGTCGCACAGGGAGATGCAGCTGCATGCGTGCGCGCCTAGACCGGTCGGGGTCCTGCTCCCAAGTGCCAGGTGGGAAAAGCTGCTCAAAAGCAATCCTCCAAACAGCTGTCCCAATCCCTAAAAGCCTCAACCACCTCCGGACGCGGCGGCATAGTCCGGGCGAGGTACATCGGCCGTGCTGAAACTGCAATGGCGAGGAGGTGTGAAACCATCTGGGGGTGGTCGAGCAAGGGGAGCCATGGCAGTGGCGCCTACAACTGTCGAAGCTGCTCCCGTAGCCGGACCACCTCCCGATCCTCCTCCCCAATAGGCACGCCCACCACAGTAAGACCCTCCTCCACCCGCTGCATCCCTAATGGCAGTGCCTGCTCCACATCCCTGCCCTCGCGCTCCCAAAACCGGCACTTGTGCGCCTGCACCTCCAACCCCACCCACTCCAACCGCTCCCGCAGCACCCCAAAAGCCTCCAGAATCCTAGCTGCTGGCCCCAAAATATAGGTATCGTCTGCATAGCTGAGGAAAAGCAGGTCCCCGAAACCCTAAATTTATACGCATATGTTCTACTTGTATGTAATAAACTTGCTAAAGGACGCGTGAGTTTGTGAAGGACCTGCGCACATGCACCATGGACTCGATTTTGATGAGGCCATATGTCAAATGTTAATCTTGTGATAGGCTGTAGTGAGGTACTCTCTAGTGAGTACAACTTTGGTAGGTTTCCTATTTGTATCCTTCCCAACCCTAATTCAGTCATTCCGTTGCATTCGAACTTTGAGATGGTATCACGAGTAGGTTAGTTCCTTGTTACTTCCTAGCCCGCGCCCTCTCTAGCGCACCCCCGCGCCCTCCGCGCCCTCCGTGCCCTCTGCGCCCTCCGCGCCCTCCACGCCCTCCGCGCCCTCCGCGCCTTAGCCTCCGCGCCCTCCGCGCCCTAGCGCCCTCCTCCTCCGCGCGTCAGTGCTCTCCGCGCCCCTAGCACGTCGCCCAGGCCCGCGCCCTAGCCCGTCGCCCAGGCCCGCGCCCTAGCCCGTCGCCCAGGCCTGCGCCCTAGCCCGTCGCCTAGGCCCGCGCCCTAGCCCGTCGCCCAGGCCTGCGCCCTAGCCCGTCGCCCAGGCCCGCGCCCTAGCCCGTTGCCCAGGCCCGCGCCCTAGCCCGTCGCGGCCTCCACATCCCCTCGTTCACTCGGAACTTGGTGGGTGCTGGTTACCTCCAGGACAGGGGGATCACGGTTACCTTTGTGGGGGGTGGGAGGACTGCGGTCTATACAGACGCTGCCACAGGTGCTGTTCTGGCCACGTTCACCACGGAGCCCCGCTCCGATCTCTACGTTCTCCACACCGAGCGCTCCCCGGTTGCGTCCTCCGCTCAGGTCGTTGCGTCCCCTCCAGTCCAGGTGTCCAGTCCGGTTGCTGTGTCTCGCCAGGTGGTCGTGTCTAGTCCAGTTGCAGTGTCTAGTCAGGTCGCGTTGTCTAGTCTAGTCGCTGCGTCCTGCTCCTGTCGGTCCCTCACCCACCAGACCGTCTTGTGTCACCACCGCCTTGGCCACCCGTCGATCCCCCGCCTCCGCGGGATGACCACTCACGGGCTTGTCACCGGCCTCCCACGCACCTTTCCGTCGCTCCCCACCTCCCCTGCTCCCCCTTGCACTCCTTGCGTCGCCGGTCGCTTACGCGCCACTCCCCACTCCTCCTCCATTCGTCCGGCCACTGCTCCCTTCGAGACTCTCCACTTGGACGTCTGGGGCCCTGCCCCGACGCAGGGATCTGGGAGGGAGCGTTACTTTCTGTTGGTCGTCGACGACTTCTCCATGTACACCACAGTGTTCCCTCTCGCGAAGAAGTCCGAGGTGACTTCTACGCTGATCCGGTGGCTTCTGGCTACTGAGGGCACTCGTGGTCGTCGTGTCAGTTGTCTACACTCCGACCGTGGGGGCGAGTTTCGCTCCGGCATTCTTGGCAGATTCTGTGGCGAACAGGGCATCGTACAGTCCTGGACGCTTGCTGAGTCCCCACAGCAGAATGGGGTTGCTGAGCGCCGCATTGGCTTGGTCATGGACATTGCTTGCACGTCCATGATCCATGCCCGTGCGCCCCATTTTCTGTGGCCCTACGCGGTTCGCTACGCCGCACACCAGCTGAACCTCCAGCCGCGCGTCTCACGGCCCGAGGCTTCACCGACCAGTCTTTGGACCGGGTCCCCTGGTGTTGGGTTGGTCTTTCGTGTCTGGGGCTGCCTTGCGCTTG